CCAATGCGCTATCCATTGCGCCACAGAGCCAGGTGAAAAACTTTATTGAACATTGACGGACAAATTCAAGTATTTTACGTCATGAAAACACATTCTAATTGAATTAAATTTTTGGTGCGTTTGTCGATATTTGTTTAAATATGGCAACATTTTATTTGTGTTAAAAACAGAAAACGCGCGAAACACTTTTTTTATTAAGTTCAATACATTATATGTGCGCTTATTTTTAAATACCTTCATGTTATATCACTTGTATGATCGGTTTTGTGTGTGCGTATTTCGTTTGTGTGTATTGTTAACAATATATAAAAGTTGTTAACAAAATATAAATAAATAAAGTAACAAATAAAACCTTTAGGAGAATCGTTTCCTGTCTGCCCCGGATGTAGTTAGCAATCAGCTACAGTTAGCAGTGTGATTTATGCTGTGATTAAAGGACATTAAAAAGCAAAATGTCAGAGCAAACGATAACAGTGACAGTTGCATACGGTAATACGATTTTATATGATGTTACATGGTTATTATCAGATGATAGATGGACATAGAAATGTTGAATTTACTAACCATTGTTCGAGTAGCTACGATATGTCTAGCCAGTGTAGCTCGCTCTTACCAAACATTTGCGAGTAACTCACTTTAATATCTTTGAGTTATTTCACTTGAATACTTTATGCCTAAATACACACTAAAACACTGTGCTCGAATTAATACACTGCAATCTGATTTAATACAAGCTGTCTTTTTTTTGTAGATCTGAAATCTCACAATCATTTTTCATATATATGTGTGTGTTTATATCTTTTGGTCTAAAATTGAATTACATTACTGTAAAGCAGTTTTTCTGTAATATACAGAGAATGCTCCAGTTCTTTGCCATAATGTGTTAAGGGTACATTTACTAACTTGTGATTCAGTTGCATTCAGCTTGAAAGATTTAAAGCAGCATTTAGATGTTACTCATGGTCTTCTATCCAAGTAATTCACATTGTTTCAGGAAAACAAACCAAACATCTCCCACTAATTGCCACACAGGAAGTGCTTATGCTATCAAGTTGCAGCTCTAATGTCTTTCTTCCTCTCCAGGATCCACTAAGCACAGCATCACATTAACCAGCCAGGATGATGGCAAGGGCCCTACTGTGAAAGACCTGTCGGACGCTCTCACTCAGGCTACCGGGGTTCCACAAAACTCACAGAAAATCATCTTTAAAGGTAGATTGTAGCTCTCTCTTTTCTTTCACTTAAATATAATAGTCTGTATCAGGCTCTAACCTTGACTTATCCATCCTGGCTTTCAGGAAAATCACTGAAGGAGATGGAGGAGAGTTTGTCCAGCTATGGAGTAAAAGAAGGCTGCAAACTCATGATGATTGGAAAGCGGGTAAGGCACGTGTGTGATGTCTCTGATGTGTGACCGTATATGTAATCAAATACTGACGATAATCTACAAACAGAACAGTCCTGAGGAAGAAGCCGAGCTGAAGAAGCTGAAAGATATCGAGAAGTCTGTGGAGCAGACGGCTAAAAAGCTGGAGAAGGTTGACGGGGAGCTGACTGGACTCAAGAATGTAAGCAATCAGTTATCTTTTTTTTAAGATGAAAAGTGTTCCTGCATTGGTTGTTTCCTGTAAAAAAATATTTGATTACCACCCATTTCTTACGCAGGGCTTCCTGGCCAAAGACCTCCAGGCAGAGGCGTTGGGAAAACTAGACCACAGAGTGAAAATAGCAGCCGAACAGTTCATGAAGATCCTGGAGCAGATCGATGCTTTGGTAATCTATTTTCAGGTGTTTATTTTTGCGTGCATGTGTTTGTTTTTTTTAATGTGTCATATATATATATATAACAAACGACTTCTTTTAACAGAGTCTTCCTGATAATTTCAACGACTGCCGAATGAAGAAAAAGGGACTTATTAAGACAGTACAGGTAAACTCCTTTTTTCAGTGTCACCAAAAAGTTTTCATTAAAAATCACTGAGGATACTGACTAATATACGTGTGATTATTTCCTGTCAATAGGATTTCCTGGCCCAGTGTGACAAAATCGAGGCGTGTATATCAGACCACCTATCAAAGATCCAGTCGAAAAATCTCGCCCTGGCCGAGTAGAGCTACAGTCTCCCATATCATGTCCTATACATTGCTCTGTGAGCAACTGCAAAGTGTACAGAAAACTTCAGGTGTGGGGCAGCTCCTTGTCTATTTATTGTTGGTGTGATGTGTATGAGAGAGCCCTCATCACAGAGAACCCTGTGAACAGACGGAGGCTGGTTATCGGCACGGATGCTGTGGACATCTGTGCTACGTTCTCTGGGTTTAAGACAGATGTGAAGTGCTCCTCAATGTAACCACAGTCACACTGCGAAAGGATCAGAGGTGCTTTGAATTGTGGTAAATTATGTAGATCCCCTTACAGCATCCAAACATGGCCAAATGTCTGTCAAATTAATGTTCATCACCCAGCATCTCAGAAAATTTGTTTCGTTTTCTTGCTCCTTGTGATGTACCAACTGTGGAGTGTTCCCTATGTACACACATGGTCAAAAGTATGTGGACACCCAAACATTACCAAGTATTAGATTCTCATCAACTCTCCTGGGAAGGCTTTTTCTTTTTGAACCTGGCTCCAGGGATCATCAGTGAGGTCAGGCCCATAAGCTCAAAGCTGGAGTCCCAATTCATCCCAAAGGTGCTGGATGTTGTTATGGCTCTGTGCCATGAACCTCGATTTGTGCACAGGGGCCATTTTCATGTTGTAAGAGAAAATGTCCTCAGCAAATCAGCTGTTGCCACAATGTCACCATGTCAATGTGATGGCATCAGGAAATGTTACATTACTTTTCTTATAAAGTTGAATGGGTTCTTTTTTTTTTAAATGGTTTCAACACTAGGCCATGCCATTAAAAATGACCCTAAGAATTACAATACAGTCCACGTACTTTTGGCCATATAGTGTATATTCATTACTCTACATTGAGAGTCAGCACCTTTTGTTAAATCCAGTGACTGATCCTGTGTAATTGTGTAGCTTTAAAACTAGTGTGAACTGTGGAATTGGTATTGCTTTAAAACCTCACTAAGACTGACACATCAAACCAATTTTGCTTTGTTTTAAAATAAAACCTGAAAAATGAATGGAGCGTTGGTGATTTCATCTCTTTAATTTCCTACAAAATACAAATGATTCAGTAAAACCAAACCAGTCGCAGTAACAGACTCCTTGTTGCAGTTTATTTCCAGCTTTATCCATGAGGGTCTTTTCATACATCTTTACTAGCTTATACAGACCATTTGGTGGTGTTTTCACAGATGTGCAAATGAGCTTTGGGAGTAGTGTAGGGTTGAGGAGTTGGAGTGGAGGGGGGTTGGTATGGTCCAACAAGCAGCTTAAACAAAGGACCTTCAGTGAGCTTTACCACAGTGAAGCTTATCATGAGCCACATAACAGGATATAGCTGTTCTAAGTGGAGACCCGTTAAAGATACACGCAAAGTACAGAATAAACCTTCTCCAGAGTCGCCACTGTCGCTAATCGTCTTTGTCTTTGGCGCCGTGCTTTAGTATGCGTGTGAATGCTACATAGTTGAAGTTGCCTTTCTTGTCGATGGGCGCCTCTCGGAAGAGCTCGTCCACTTCTTCATCCGTAAACCTGTCTCCCATCGTAGTGAGCAGCTCCCGCAGGTACTCCTCCTGGATCATACCTGTGGGAAAAGATAGGATTTTTAATTCCAATATAGAAAGGGAGGTAAAGGAGGTACATCAAGCATACTAGGTTGAGGCTATTGCCATTAAAGCACACCAAAATTAACTTAAATTAGTTGATCTATTATTTGATTTACAGAAAAAAAATATTGGCAACAACCATTTAACTAACTTATCAAGACAAAATGTTAACAGTTTGCTTGTTACAATTTCTCTGATGTAAGAATTAGCCAACTTTCTGTGTTATACGTAATGATTATTTACATAACTTTCAGTTCTTTGCCATTTATCACCATTTTCTTTTTTTATATCACATTAAAATACAACAGTAATACAAATATTCCAACCCAACCTATGCATACATCTGTGTGAGTAAACAAATAGCAAATCAATTATTTAAATAAATAATTTATCAAATAAAGACATTTAGTTTTAATACATTTTCACAATTTTTAGACAACACAATTGGATAATTTTAGAAGTTGTCAGATCAAACAATAATGAAAATAATGATACTGAACTCAGAACAGAGAAAAGTGATCCCATTCATTCGCCTGCCTTTGAGGATTCAACTGTTTTGTTCAAGAATACTTTTAATAAAAACAAAAACTTGAGCACTGAGTCTGGCATCACGAGGTCCAGTGCACGGTCAAAATGTACAGAAAACTCCAAAACTCACCGGTGCCCTCTTCGTCAAAGCAGGCAAAAGCGTTACGGATCACGTCCTCGGGATCAGTGCCGTTCAGCTTCTCTCCAAACATGGTCAGAAACATTGTGAAGTTGATTGGGCCTGGCGCTTCATTCATCATTGCCTCCAGGTACTCATCTGTGGGGTTCTTACCTGGGCAATAAAGTTAATGACACTCAACCACTACTCGCGCAGAGAACATATAGAACTTACTATTTTATGTCTAAATGTACCTAAATATACTGTTAGGTTTACCTAATGAGGCCAGCATGTCATGAAGGTCTTCTTTGTCAATAAAACCATCTCTGTTTTGGTCAATCATGTTGAAGGCCTCCTTGAACTCCTGAATTTGAGACTGGTCAAACATAGCGAACACATTGGAGGTGGCACGCTGAGGACGCTTCTTGGTGTTCTTTCCCTTGGCCCTTTTGCTCGACATGTTGGCGTCTGGTAGGTCCCCCTCTCCTGTAATGCAGATGATATGATCTTATACACATATCACTTTTGTCAGATGTATCTCGATAACAACAAATGTTTGTATATATTCTTCTTTATTCTGGCTTGACTGGACTGTAATGTTATGACCATGGCACCAGAAACATCAAACATGGCAAAAAGTGAAAAGAAGAAAATAAGAGGACAGTTATAGTAAAGAATAAATAAAATAAAAAAAACAATAAGTAGATGCTATGAAAAGAAAGAAATGGATTATGGTTATGATTATGTCGGTGAAACAATCCTATTAATTCTTGTCCTTATAAGACTGATTTGTTCATTTTAGATTAAGCTGAACTTTTGTTTTGAAATGAAAGTCAACAAGAGTAGAGAGCAGAAACATTTGAATCCATAAATTACCAGCAAACTAGAGTTCAGCATTTAATCTTATGTACTGTAATTTACCTATAATAAAAAGAGTGACTAAAACTGAACTAAACTGTGTACAATTTCACGACTCCCCATTAAAATGTCCTAATCAATTAACACGTGTTATGGTTCTACTGGTCTCATTACAGCCAAATGACTTAAAAATGACTTAAGGACTGAGAGTTCACCTTGGAAATGTTTCATCATCCATATAATTGTGAATATGGCTGCACTAGCGCCTGATAATATAAGCCAGCTTCAGTCAAGCAAACTCAGTCATCCACACAGAGGAACAGGGCCCGAGTTTGAGATGACTGCTTGTTTAACTGGCTGGATGTCAGCTGATATAGCGGTACTCATTTTGGATATTGGATATTTACCTATAACTGCAAAGAGGACATTTGCTAAGAGAACCACAATGTTGGCAATTCGATTAAACGGGTTTACATCTCTGTCCAGTGTCTCAGTGCAAAAGTATTCTCTGTACCTGTAAACTATGTAGTTTCACTGTTTAAACTCTTAAAAACACATAAATATCATCACTAAAACACATATATATGGTCATATATGCATCTATGTCATGGCCATTAAAAAACCTGCACAAAAATATTTATTTCAGCATCCTTTCTCACTCTGCACCATTGTACTATTGTTTTACTGTCTACAAATGTTGTTGTTGTTTA